AATGGCTTTTCTCCAGTGTGGACTCTCATGTGTTTCTTTAAACCTGTTTTCAAGCTAAATTTGTGTCCACAGTCCTCGCATACAAAAGGTTTCTGGCCAGTGTGGACTGTCATGTGTAAGTTTAAATGAGATATCTGGATGAATCTTTGTCCACAGTCCTCACATTGAAATGACTTCTCTTCTATGTGGATTTTCTTGTGTCGGATTAAATTTGCCTTCCAGTTAAATTTGTGTCCACAGTCCTTACATACAAATGGTTTCAATCCAGTGTGGACTCTCATGTGTGTGTTTAAATGAGTCTTCCGGGTATATCTTTTCCCACAGTCCTCACAAACAAAATATTTCTGTCCCGTGTGGACACTGATGTGTAAGCTTAAATCTGTTTTCTGGCTAAATCTTTGTCCACAGTCCTCACATTCAAGTGGCTTCTCTCCTGTATGGACTTTCTTGTGTCTGATTAAATTTGTCTTCCAGTTAAATTTGTGTCCACAGTCCTCACACACAAATGGTTTCTGTCCGGTGTGGACTCTCATGTGTATGTTTAAATTAGTCTTCCGGGTAAATCTTTGTCCACAGTCCTCACAAACAAAAGGTTTCTGTCCTGTGTGGACTTTGATGAGTTCATTTAAATCCGTCTTCTGACTAAATCTTTGTCCACAGTCCTCGTATACAAAAGGTTCCTCCATTGTATGGATTCTCATGTGCAAGTTTAAATTTGTATTGCTGATAAAACATTTACCACATTCGTCACAACTAAATGATTTTGGTCCTGTCTGCAAGTGTTCCAGCTGAGAGTCAGGATTGTTCCCATCCTCATCCTCGTCATCATTCTCACTGACTTCAGTCTCTGAAGAGCTGGTAGCATTTCCATGAAGATTTTGATCTGGGCTCCTGCTGGTTTCTGCTCCTCCACAGTCCTCTCCATCAGCTTCTACTTTCATCTGGTCTGCAGAGCTGCTGGTTGGAACATCTCCATCTTCCATTTGGTGCTGATGAAGCTGTGAGAACAGAGGCTTTTCTTCATCATCCTCACTCTTCAGAGGAACTGTGGTGAATGAAAACCTGCTGGCATCAGTCCTCTCTTTCACTTTGAGCTGCTCTCCCTCTAAACTGGTCCAGAGTTCTTCCTCTTCCTCCTTGATGTGGAGGGGCTCTGGATCCTGCTGAAGAAGCTGTGAGAACAGAGGCTTCTCTTCATCATCCTCACTCTTCAGAGGAACTGCGGTAAATGAAAATCTGCTGGCACCAGTCTCCTCCTTTACAATGAGCTGCTCTCCCTCCAGTCTGGTCCACAGTTCCTCCTCTTCCTCCTTTATGTGGAGGAGCTCTGGATCCTGCTGGTCCACATCAGGCCTCTGTTCCTCAGGAGCATCTCCTTTGATCAGCAGAGTCTGCTGAACATCTGCAGGGAACACTGAAACACAGACAATATGGACAGTTATAACTTTATATTCACTCATACATTACTTGTGTTGTTGCTTTATGTTCTGTGGATCAAAACTGTTCCAAGTTAATGTGAACATTTTACTATCATCTTCATATTAATATTACAGCACAACGACTGCTTCGCTGAAGGTTCTTAATGACGTTGTTGAAGCACTGGATGCTAAGGATTATTGTGCTGCACTTTTCTTAGACCTGTCTAAAGCTTTTGACACTGTGGATCATATCATCTTGTGTCATAAGCTCTCAGAAATTGGTTTCTCAGATCACACCATTGGTTGGTTCTCTAACTATCTCTCAGACCAGAGGCAATGTGTTCAACATAATGGTACTTCCTCCAGTTATTTAACAAGTCAACAATGGCATACCACAAGTCTCAGTCTTAGGACCCACCCTCTTTACAATCTAAATAGGTAATGTAGGTCAGAGCATCCATGACACATCCTTACATTTCTATGCTGATGACACAGTTATTTATTGTCAAACTAAAACAGTTGATAAGGCTTTCCAGCTTTTGCAATCCGCATTTGACATCATCCAGTCAGATTTGATCCGCCTCAAACTTGTCTTAAATGTCGATAAAACCAAAGGGATGGTTTTTTTTTTAAAACAGGAAGTCGGTCCCAGCAGTTCGTCCTCCGATTTTATCCTGAAATGGTGTCCCCATTGAGTTTGTTGATTCCTATAAATGTTGAATCCTATAAATATTTGGTTATCTTGGTTGACTCGCATCTCTCTTTTAAGCTCCATGTGGAAAACCTAGTAAAGAAACTGAAAGTTAAACTGGGTTTCTTTTTCAGAAGCAGATCCTGTCCAACTTTGAATGCTAGGAAACGCCTTGTATCTGTGACTTTCCTTCCCTCCATTGATTACGGTGACATTATTTACATGAACGCTCCTACAAGAACCCTGCAGATGTTGGATGCTGTCTATCATGGTGCACTAAGATTCATAACTGGCTGTGATTATCGTACCCACCACTGCACCCTGTATTCACTGGTTAACTGGACATCACTAACTTCACGCAGACTCTCCCACTGGTACATTTTCATCTTTAAAACACTTCTGGGTCTGCTGCCTTCATACATCTCCTCCTACACGTCTCTGCGTGAATGCAGCTACAGCGTGCGCTCTCAGGACATTATTACCTGCAGTGTTCCCTCAGTGCAGACTGAACTAGTCAAAAGGGCCTTCTCTTACTCCGCTCCTGTTTCCTGGAATATCTTACAAAAAGACCTGAAGTTCTTGACCTTGACCTCTCTAAGTGGCTTTAAGAATCTGTTGGACTCCTGGCAGGGACCAAGGCTGACATGTTCCTGTTTTTAGTTTTATACATTCGCCTTAGAATCTAGCTGTTTTTTGTTACTTTTCTTTTTTTAGTCATCCTATTTGTTAAAAAAAAATAAAAAATAAAAATCTGTATGACTTTTTATAACTGTTTATTGTTGTCGCTGTTGTCCATTGTTGTCAGCATTCTTTGTTGAAATCAGGTCTCTCTTGTAAATGAGTCCTCGAGGCTCAATGTGCTTGTTGGCTTCAAACTATGGAATGGATTTCCTGAACGGCGGCGTGTCTCATGAGCCCAGAGTAATAAGACCCGCCTCACATTCAGGAAATCCAGTTCATAGTTTGCAGCCAGCTACAACATGACGAATGAGTTAGCAGCACTGTGGCTAACAGCTAACAAACTTTTCATCTAAACATGTCCGCTGTGTGGAAGTATTTTACACTAGAAACACACAAAACAAGACAGCAACGTGCAATGTCCGCAGAGCCATAGCGCCACATTAAACCACGGTAAAGTTAGTTTTACGTTGGACATTCGAGCTCCGTGGCTTCAGCAGGGCACTGCTCTTTGGTCAATCCAAAACAAGCGACTCGACCCCGGCCAACTGCGTCCAATCTGCCCCGCTCAGTCTGCCCGTCTCTGAGGAGGCACAGACTGAGCACGGCTATCGAAATCAGGCTGCCTGCTTCGGATTGAACAAGAAGAAGACACCGCTGAAACCATGGAGCTCTAAGGTTTACAGAGAAGTTGCTAAACTTCATAATTAATGACCAACCACTATCAGTTGTAGAAAACGAAGGATTTCACAGTTTGATGCAGCCAAGATATAGTTTACCCTCCAGGAGATATTTATCAGTACAACAGTAGACAATCATAAAAAAAACATTATTTGAAAATTATATATATTAAAAACAAAAACAGCTACATTATAAAGTTATGTAAAATACTAAAAACAGGAACATGTCTGTTGGTTTATGCCATGAACTTAGCAGATGTTTGAAGCCATTTAACATTTTATTTTATTTAATTCATTTATTCATTCATTTAAATGAAACAATAAAAAAATATCAAAAAGAAAACATCGAATGAAAAGAGTGCAGAAAGAAGAAAAAATTCTTAGATCTGCCCCTTATTAAAAAAATAATAATAACTTTAAACAATCACTTCAATTAATCCCTTTAATATCCACTTTAAAGCTAGAAATAAAAATAAACATGTTTTGTGTTAGCAGAATTTAATTCTAACTTTAAAACTTATCCAACATTAATAAAACATACCTCAAGTTGACTTTTTGGACATGCATGCATATATTTGTACAACTTGTACTTGAGAGGAGATTATTACAGCCTCATATAAAATCAATGATGATGATGATATTGGAACTGGATCGGTATTGGTATCGGCTAGAGATGGGTACTTTTTTTTTTTTTTTAATCGGTGTCGGTACCTTCACTTCGGTGTCGGTTCCTGGGTGGTTCTTTTTTTCGGTACCAATTTTGTAATTACTATTAATTCTAACAAGAATAAAATTACGTTACACATTACAGTACAAATTGTGAGTTTTATTTTTTTAACTTTGGTATTTTTCCATTCCAAGCAGTTTTCTTACATAAAAACAAACAAATAATTTCCAGGTCAAAAGACCAGTTACAAACCAGTGACACGTCAGTGTCTAATGCTCACTGCTACACACCGAGGACCTTTTCACTGAACAGTTTTTCTTCAGAAACATCAACATGTCTGGTTTCTCTGGACACAAACAAGATGCTCCTGGCTGATGGTGTCTCCAGCAGTAGAACATGTTCACTCTGAGGCTGTAGATGATGATTGTTGTACACACAGATACCTGGTTGTCAGTTTGACATATTGTCCCTCACATTCCACCAGCAGGTCACTGGATTCACTGAGGTAGGGATGATGCAGACTTCTGCACCTCTGTGTCTCTGCCTGAATCTTCTCTGTGGTTCTCTGGGGTTTAGGGCTCTGATCATCTCCCTAATTGACATGAGAACAAAACATCACCAATAACATGGTTGTGTTATTATTGATCAAAAACATTATCTAGGCCGAGAGAAAAAAGTTTAACTGGTCAACAAAATCCTTTAAAGTTTAATTTACCTCCAACATGCAGCTCCACTGTAAAAAAAAGCAGCAAATTTTTAACAACAAAGTCTGATTGTCCTGTGGCCCCCACCTCGCTTTTCTTTTGTTCTCCTCACATCAGGGTCAGAGGCTCCTGTGAGGAGAACATGAACATAAACAGTGAACATTAGTGAACTGTTTAAGCAGCTGATCCAATGGATGAGCACATTTTTAAAAGCTAAGATTTATGTTACTGTCAATCTTTAGTTAGCTTCTGAGTTTAGCTAGCTACGTAGATAAAATAAATTTACACACTAATATCTTAAAGTTAGCGTTACATGGATCATAGTTTATTTCACCGCGATGTACGTGTTAAGCTGCAGTTACGCTAACAAACGTAACTCACCTGCTGAAACTCACAGAGACGTCCTCGGAGTTCTTTGATGAAGAGTCCGGTCGTGGAGATAAAGAATCAGGACGTTCAGGCTCTCACAGGCTGACTTTAATGCTGAGAGGAGGAGGGGGAGGAGGAGGAGGGTGGAGGCTAATGAACTCTTCTCTCCTCACAGAAAAACACGGAGCAACTTTCTGCAGCGCGTGTTGTCGAAGCCGTTCGACAACACGCGCTGCACACGTGAACCCGTCTGTGGGCGTCACCAGCACCATAGACATAATTATACATAGATTAGGTACGGCAGCTCTATACAGCTCTGGGTGTAATCTGGGTGTAGTCTGTTTGTCATATGTCTGGTGTTTTACCAGCCTGCGTGCTGAAACCACGTGACACGTTACAGTCAATACCGAAACTTGACACCGAAAGAAGAGTGACGTTTCAATACATACACCGACCGGTGCAGTTCGGTCGGTGCCATAAAAGAACCTCGGTTCGGTACTCAGCCCTAGTATCGGCCGATATTCAGTTTTAAGTATCGGGATCGGATCGGAAGTAAAAAAAAAAAAAAAAAGTGGATCGTGCATCCCTAATAGATATACCTCAAAAAGGATTTGAATAGGTCATTAAGTGTGTTCCTCATAGTTTACATTCCTTAGCACAAACTATAAAGTTATGTATGTACATTCATGACTCAGTTTCAATTGAAGGAACTAATATAATGCATAAGAAATTTACAAACAGGTTTATCAGAGCTCATTTAGAAACATCATCTACTTGCACATGCAAACATAGATGGACTTATTTAAGCAAAAAACTGCAGTGCAATCTTCTTATTGCCTCATAAATAAATACTTGTTAAAAGTATCAAAAAAAATTATTTAAAATTTTACATAGATAAGAAAATTGTGGTGTTTGCATAGATAAAAAGTTACATATTATTTTATTTGACTTATTTACGTATAAATTTATTTAACTATTTTTTTAACCTTATTTAGTTTATACTAGATTGTAAAACCTTTACACCAATATTGCCAATGACAGTGGTTATTATTTATATATTATTCCTTTATTTATTCGTTAATTTTTTCTTTAATATAATTTGATCTTATGATTGTGTTGAAGATATTTATATGCAATGTTATTTGTTCGAAATAAAGTACTTTTTAAAAAGGGAAATAAAAAGTAACTGCTGGTTTCAACTGCGGCCTACGGAGCAGATACAGGCCCTGAATTTAGACACAGCCTGAATAAGTTGCTCTGCTTCGTGTAAAACTGTTTGTTGTCCTTAACAGTAGTTGGGACAGGACGTGTCCAAACTAAAATCAAAAACAGCCTCCCGCCTCTTAATCTCCTAATTTACTTTCTGGAAACTGTCCATCTGAACTCTTTCATCGTTAGCATGCTAAGCTAAAAACAGACAACAGATTTAGTTAAGAAGTTAAATCCATGAACTACCTAGAAACCACAGCTAGCTAACATCGTCTGATGCTGAATGA